AGGATTGCATCTTTGGCAAACAAAAGAAAGTCAGCTTTGCAAAGATTGGTAAGACACCCAAGGCTGAAAAGTTAGAGTTGGTTCATACTGATGTATGGGGACCATCTCCAGTTCCATCTCTTGTAGGCTCATTATATTATGTCATCTTCATCGATGATTCTACAAGGAAGGTGTGGGTTTATTTTCTGAAGAAGAAATCAGAAGTCTTTGACACCTTCAGAAAATGGAAGGCCATGGTGGAAAATGAGACTGGTCTGAAAGTCAAGCGGTTGACGTCTGACAATGGAGGAGAGTACAGAAATCGTAGATTCAGAGATTTCTGTGCAAACAATGGGATTAAGATGGAGACAACAGTTCCCATGACACCGTAGCAGAATGGCGTAGCAGAGCGCATGAACAAAACTCTGAATGAACGTGCCAGAAGCATAAGGATACATGCCGGTTTGCCCAAATTTCTATGGGCTGAAGCTATCAACACTGCAGCTTACTTGATCAATCGTAGGCCCTCAGTTCCTTTGGATGGCAGAATACCAGAGGAAGTTTGGAGCAAGAAAGAAATAAACCTTTCACACTTAAGAGTGTTTGGTTGTATTTCTTATGTACACATAGACTCTGTTGAAAGAAGTAAACTTGATGCTAAGTCCAACAAATGTGCCTTTGTTGGTTATGGCGGTGATGAGTTCGGTTACCGGTTTTGGGACTATGAAAATCGGAAGATCATCAGAAGCAGAGATGTCATTTTCAATGAGAATGTGATGTACAAAGACATGTCAACTGTAGAATCAAGCAGCTCCAATACCGAAGCTGAAACAAAGGAATTTGTTGAGTTCGAGGAGATTTCTGGAAATGATGTTCAAATCAGTCCTGAAACAGTTCAAGAAGAACCAGGCACACCGGAACTAAGACGCTCCTCCAAAATTCCTAAACCAACCCAGCGATATTCTCCTTCTTTGCACTACTTGTTGTTGGCTGACAATGGTGAACCAGAGTGCTATGATGAATCAATGCAAGTGGAGGATTCAGTCAAGTGGGAGTCTTCCATGAAAGATGAGATGGACTCGCTTATGTCAAATCAGACGTGGGAATTAGCTGAATTACCACCAGGCAAGAAAGCGCTTCACAACAAGTGGATTTACAGGATCAAAGAAGAGCACGATGGGAGCAAACGTTACAAAGCAAGATTGGTTGTCAAAGGTTTTCAACAAAAAGAAGGTATTGACTACAATGAAATTTTCTCTCCAGTCATAAAACTGTCTACTATCAGACTGGTGTTGAAAATTGTAGCTGCAGAAAATCTACATCTTGAGCAGTTAGATGTAAAGACAGCTTTCCTTCATGGTGATTTGGAGGAAGAAATCTATATGAGGCAGCCAAAAGGCTTCATAGAGGTAGGCAAGAAAACCCTGGTATGCAGATTGAAGAAGAGCTTGTATGGTTTAAAACAAGTTCCTAGACAGTGGTACAAGAAGTTTGACAGCTTCATGAGTAGCAGTGGTTTTACCAGATGCCAAGCAGATCATTGTTGCTACATCAAGAGGTTAGACAACAGTTTCATTATTTTATTGTTGTATGTTGATGTCATGTTCGTTGCAGGCTCAGACATGCAAGAGATTATACACTTGAAGCAAGAATTGTCAAAGCAGTTTGCTATAAAAGATCTTGGCGCTGCAAAGCAGATTCTTGGGATGAGGATCAAGAGAGACACAAAGTCGGGGACTTTGATGTTATCACAGGCTGAGTACATCAACAAAGTACTCTTTAGGTTCAACATGCAAGATGCTAAACCAGTAAGTACACCTTTAGGTGTTCATTTCAGACTCTCCAAAGAACAATCACCAAAGACGGATGAAGAACGTGCACACATGGTGAAGGTACCGTACGCCTCAGCAATTGGAAGTTTGATGTATGCCATGGTTTGTACCAGACCAGATATTGCTCATGCAGTGGGAGCTGTTAGCATGTACATGAATAATCCAGGCAAGGTACATTGGGAAGTAGTCAAATGGATCCTCAGATATTTGCAGGGTACCACAAACAAAGCACTTTGTTTCAAAGGTGGAGATACGATACTGACAGGCTATGTAGATACTGACTTAGCCGGAAATGTTGACATCAGAAGGAGCACTACAGGGTATGTCTATACTCTAGGAAGTACTGCAGTGAGTTGAGTTTCTCAACTACAGAAGATAGTTGCTCTCTCCACAACTGAAGCAGAATATGTCGCTGTTACGGAAGCCAGCAAGGAGATGGTTTGGCTCTAAAGTTTCTTGGAAGAGTTAGGCAAGAAATAAGAAAACAATGTCTTGTATTGCGACAGTCAAAGTGCTATCCATCTAGCAAAGAATCCGTCTTTTCATTCCAGGACGAAGCACATACAATTACGGTATCATTTTATCCAGTCTCTTCTGGAAGATGGGATTTTGAAACTTGAAAAGATTAGTGGAGCTCAAAATCCGGTAGACATGTTGACAAAGACGGTGACCACGGACAAACTGAAGTTGTGTTCAACTTCAGTTGGTATGCTAGACTAACAAGACCAGAAATGCTGCTGCAATGATCGAGGTGTGAAGACAGATTAAAATCAGTCTTCAAGTGGGAGATTGCTGAAAGTATTGTTAAAAATGGTTTTCAAGTTTGGCAATCAACTTTGAAAAATTGGTTTTCAAAGTTTGGTAAATGTTTCTTTGAAAATGGTTTTCAAAGTTTGGTAAATGTTTTTTTGAAAAATAATTTTTCAAAGTTTGGTAGATGTTTGTTGAAAATGATAATGAGATAATCACAATTAATCCCTAGGCTTTAGGGTATTTACAAGATTAAGTCCTTAAGTTTCAACTATAAATACCCTAGATCATTTAGCTTCAAAACCATCCCAAAAATCATTTCTTTCTCCCAATACTATAGAGTTTTCTTGTGAGTAGTGAGTGTTTTGTAAACACCTGTAAATTTTCTCTTTTAGTAAAATATCTGCAGCAGTCCGGAGACGTAAACACAATTGGTTGAACTCGTTATCAATTTCGGGTATTATTTTTCCGCTTTTATTTCGCATTCTCACTAATCTGGTTATAGGGAAATTATTCGTACTCGATTTATTTCCTAACATTATAAAGAACCAGGGCCAAATACTAACCCCCGAACCGGTTACATTGTTTGCCTTCCTCCACAACCCTAGTTGAGTTTCAGTGATGCTTCTGTTTTGATCGGCTTAATTATGTTTCAATGAATTACAGAAGCACATTGTTAGGGTTGTTTTCTTTTTCTTGTAAAATCCATGGATTTTCCCTTTCGCGTTACATAAAAATAGACAAGAAAATGACAGCTTGTCTTGTCACAATAAAATTTTATAATTGTATGCATGTGTAGGGTTAAGTGTAGCTGCAATTTTCAGCTCTGGTTTGTTTTGAATTTTTAGCAGTTCAATAGATGTCTTTGTCGAAGAACTATCGACAAAAGAGAGTATATCCTGGGACAAGTAGGGTTAATCAAAATATGGACTTATAATCACAATATATATCGACCTAGATCATAATATCTTTAGATAAAATATGCAAGTTTTGAGACTTTTTTTAATATATAAAAAATTTAATCATAAAAAATATGAATTCATAATAAATTTAAATTGCATTAACTAAGCGACTTTGGTGGTATAAGAGATTAAATGAATTGTTATTTTTTGAGGTTGTGAGTTCGAATACTATGAATATCAAAAGTATGAACATTTAATGTCAAATAGATAAAAGTTATATTTAAATAAATATTATCTTAATTTTAATTTTCTCTAATAACATTTTGAAGATGATCACTAGTTAAAAAAACAATGTTAGTGATGTTTTTATAAAAAAAAATGTAATTTTATAATTAAAATGTAAAATAAGTAATAGATATAATTTATACTATTTTGATGACTTAGTATGTTGTCCAAAGTCGTAAAATAAAATAATAATGGAAAACGGAAATGTATGTAACTACCGCCTATTCCACGTCAATATTCACTTCCAAGAACCTTCATCCCCAATAAAATACAAAAGGGTAAACTACATGATTAGCACCTAATATATCATTTTCGTTCTATCTTAGTACTTAAACTTTTATTTTATTAAATCATACCTAACATTTTTTCATTTTAGTACTCGTTGTTAACGGAACTGTTCTACGCGACATTTTATAGATAAATTATATCATTTATCACTTAATATCTTTTCACTCTTATTTTAGTCACTAAAATTTAAAAAAAATCAATTAAACTACTCAACTTTTAAATTACTCATGTTTATTTTATTAATATTCTTTGTGACATAACATTTCATTACTGTTTTATTAATATATAATTAAAATAAAAAATTAAATTTAAAATTACACTCAAACCCAAAAATGATACCACAAATCCTAAATCACAAACCAACTCCACCCTCACGACTCACTCTTATCTACCTCTCGAACTCGACCCTTCCTTTTTTATTTTAATCATATATTAATAAAATAATAATTAAAAGATGACACATCATAGAAATTATTAATAAAATAACTTTTTATTAATAATAAAATAAGTTAGAGTGATTAAAATAGAAGTAATTTAAAAGTTAAGTGTTTAATTAGAAAACAATAAAATTTAATGACAAAAAAAGAGTGAAAATATAGTTAATTGACGAATGGTGTAATTTACCTATAAAAAATAACACGTATAACAGAACCATTAAATTTTTAACATCAAAGTACTAAAATGAAATAAAACATAAATATTATAGATGATTTTATAAAAAAATGAAAGTTTGCTAAACTTATAGTTTACCCAAGAAAAGAAAGACAAAACAAAATAGCCATTGACAAAGACCATTTCCTGCAATGTAGGATAGCGGCAAGTTCCAAGCAACAAACCAGACACATTCCATGTAAATAAGACAAAGGCAGCTAAGGCCACCAAGTTTCCTAGCTGGTCTCTTGATTGGATCCTAGGCAACTTCCCCTTTGAAAAACTCGACCACCTCTACCTGCCGTCTCAGCTTCCTTCAAATACCCCCAATCCCAAACCTCACCTTTCCATCAAAATCCAATCTTTCATTCATTCTTATTTCTTCAACACTTCCTTTCACAATTCAAAAAATCAACTACTACTCCTTTTTCTTTATTTCTAGTCTTACAAAATGGAGACATCATCAACAAACTCAGACTATACCCTATTTCCATTCATCGATATCAGTATGATCTTCTTGTTTCTTAGCTTGAAATGTTACAACACCTTTAAAAGTTCCTTCTCAGGTTATTTGTCTTTCCCACATTCCAAACATGGCAGCTCAAAGGCCTCATCAAATTTGGAGAAACCCCAGAATTTTGATTGTTCAACCGAAGAAGCTTCTTTTGATGACGAGGAAGATTGTGTTGTAGTTTGCAGAGAAGATGTGGAGAAGGTGATGGGGAATCTGGGGATTTTTTGCAGCAAAGAAAGTGACGAGCTTTGCAGGCTGTTTGAAGAAGAAGAGCCGAGCTTGGAAGAGTTGAAGGAAGCTTTTGATGTGTTTGATGTGAATAAAGATGGGTTCATTGATGCACAAGAGTTGCAGAGAGTTGTGTGTGTTTTGGGTTTGAAGGAAGGATTGAAGATTGAGAATTGCAACAAAATGATCAATAAGTTTGATGTAAATAGTGATGGCAGAATAGATTTTCAGGAATTTGTAAAATTAATGGAGATAACTTTTTTCTAAATCAGTCTAATAACATACATATACAGAAGACTTTGAATACATATTTATCAATGCATATTCTCAATGCATTAATGCAAAATCAACCCTGAATTGATCACATACTCCTTGGGCCTCAAACTATCCACCAAAATTATATCCTTGAACAAGTTTAACATTTCCAACGAAAACCCAGTCTGCAGATACCCTGCCATGAGGGAACACCATGAAACCAAATTTCTTTGGGGTATTCTCTCAAACTCTTTCTGGGCAATTGAAATTTGGTTACATGTTACACAGAGATTTATCAAGGAGTTTGAAGACTGTATGCGAGATATTATGGAGGTTTGATTGATTACTAGTAAATGGGAAATGTCGTCCATCTCAAACGTTAAATCCTTGATGATAAAATAAAGATCTTCAAAATTATTTACTCTACTTACAAAACACAATATCTTAAGAAATTGGATAAATTACATAAAATGATCATTTATTTTGTACACTTTTATTCATCAATTTTAGAAAATTTAAGTTTTGATAATTTATGTTATTGTTTTATTAAGTTTTGATCACTGAAACGTTGAATGTCGTCATTATGTTTGTCACACCCTAATTTCGGGGCTAAAATTTTTCTTAATTTAATTATAGGGATTACATTGAAATTTTGGGTAAATTCAAGGATCAAAGTGAATTTTTTACTTTAATTCAGACCAAACTGGAAATTCAGGATATTCTAGAGGACCCTATGCATTATTATGCCATTTTCATTTTGGATGGTTTAAAACCCCAAAACCTAAAAAATTCCTTATTTGAAAACTCAAGCTTTCTCTCTCCTTACACTTTCCTTTTTTTAGTATTTTGTTTCCAAGAAAGTTTAAATGGCGTTTCATCGACGAGTGTAGTTAGGTTTTGGACACCGCCCACAACATCGTGATACTTGCATTGCTTTGAGTTTATCGATGTTTGTCTTGTAATCTCCATCGTCAGTATGTGGATGGCGAGCAATAACAAGTTCCTGACTTAGTATAATTGAGATCTTCGTCATTCATCGTTGTGAACCAAGCTTGGTGTCTCAAAATGCTTTTAAATAATTTTTAGGATTTTCTGATTCCCCTAGACGTCGCACGTGCCCCCACGCATCACCGCACATAGAGCTTGTCCACCACCTGGTGGTCTTCTAGAAGCGGGTCAATCCGACTCGCTGATCTATCCAACCCGACCCACATTTGATCTGACCCAATTCCTGACCGTCTCAAACCCAACCGACCTAAATCCCAAATCGACCCAACTAGATCAGCCCAACTGAACCAGACCAAGTCAAGTTGAGTTGTTGATAGTCGTTAACCTCGTTGACCGTCGTTGCTGACCATTAACCGACGTTGACTTTGATAGTTGACCCATATTGACTTTTTTGAAACCTTCATTTTAACATTTTTCGATGTCCTAAGTCTGATTTCCGTTTTGCTAAATTCTGATTCGAAAGTCCCAAATCAAGCCCGTAAAATGCTTAGTATTTTTAGCATTTTTGCATATTTATTTGGGATTTGATTATGGAATTGATCTGGAATTATTTTTTCATGAAGGTACTCGTGATTCTCCTGATCGAGGGCTGACTAGGTCCGACACTTCTAATTTAGTAGATTCATACGGTTCACGATCATGTCAAGTTTTTGTATCACTGTATATTCTCTTATTCCCATTTCTATTATATTTTGATGACACGTTTTCTTATTGATGTTTATATGTATTTGTATTACCGATATTTTGTTACGAACATGTTTTCATACGAACTTCTGATGTTGATATATATATATGATTACCGTATAAACCCTACCGTTGTTTATATATTTTACCGTTATATGTATTTTATTCACTGTAACGGATTTCAATTACGTTATATGTATTTTATTCGCATAGATTCGGTCGTACCGTCTAGGTCGGATCTAGAGGATTACAAAGCTAATGACATTTAACATCCCAATGACCAAAATTTAATAAAACAATAACCATGGATGGAACTAGAAATTTATCATAGCAGGGTTAAAATATTTTTTTATTTTTCATAAATGTAATTGTTTTAATTGAAGGGGCCTAATAAAATTTTCTTTCTTAATTTTTTTTAAAATATATATTTTTAATATTAATTAATACTTAAAAAATTGGCGGGGCCAAGGCTCCTGGTGGCCCCATAAAGTTTCGCCCTTGACAATAATGAAAATTATAAAAACTTAAGTATTTAAATTTATTTGATAAATTCTAAATATAATTCTAAGTAAAGGGGACAGGGATAAGAAACTCTAAAAGAAGGATAAAAAGTGTTTTTAGTGGGTTTAAAATTCATGGTTTATGAGAACTAAAAATACGAGAAAAGAAATATAAATATTTTAATCAACGGACCAGATGTATTTGTTTAATTTTTTTAAAATTTAATAAATAAAAATATACATATATAAATAGACTATTCCTATAATTTACCCTAACAAATATCAAACTCTTATCATCCAAAGTAACAAAAAATTATTTCTTGCTTCCGGCTCACCATATCATCCGTAAGCGGAGGTGGTCGGCCTCCTAAAAATTTAAAATTACCATGTACTTTTAAATTTTTCTATGTATTTTCTATTAAAATTATATTTTAGCCCTCTATAATTTTATAACTTCAAGTTCGACCCTGCAATTTTATAAGTTCAATTTAGTCACATAACATAAAATCTTGTGAACGTTTCTGGATGAAGATTTAACTTACAAAAAAAAATGAGATGAAAAATATAATTAACTAAGATTACAGATGATGTGGTGACTCGTTTAATAAAATTTCCAACGTAAAGGATATCGTTAATGAATTGAATTAGGAGACTGCAAAACCTGACCACTCTTAAATGACAGTCGTAACAAGAAGTCAGAAAAATCAGTTCGACTGTTAATGAAAAAAGACTGATCTTAAAACCTAAAAATCTCTTGGTTGTGTCACCCCCATGCAAGGTCACATCCATTCCCTAATTACTCCCAGTTACTCACCTTCATTCTTATACCCTAATGGACACTAAAACCACCATCACTCACTTCAAACCTGCCTTCCCTGTGTAAAAGCAACCCCATTATTTCCTTTCACTTCCTCCATTTATGCCACACAAACTATGCTCAATCCTTTATAATAACTAAAACTCTACCAATTCTTCTGTCATCATCAACTTTCTCCTCCAATCCCCACTTCTTCTTCCCTGTCTTTTCTTTTTTTCTCTCTTTGAATGTTGATAGTTAGGTCCTTTTTCTTACGTTTCATACCTTCTCTCCTTTGGGAAAGTGTCCTATATCTCTTCATCTTTTTTACGGGATTTTGGGTTTGATTTCATTGGTTCAAAGGGATCAAATCATTGCCATGTACAGAAATACTTTTCATCCAAAGTCTTGCATGTGGAAATGAGGTTATATTTGACGCAGCCAAGGATGACTTGCCGGCCCTTATATTTAACATCACCTTGCTAATATATATTCATATTAAAAACTATAACATACTCGTTACTTTGTTAATTTAACATTGATTTATTTTACTTTTGAAATTGGTTTTCAGCATTGGTTTCTAGAGTTATGTAACCCATGGACCGGCAGGTCATCTCTGGCTATGTCATTGTCTCATTTTCTCATGCTAGATTATGGTGAAAATAGCTAAAGGATATATAGTTTCACAACCCTAAACCAATTTGCTTACAGGTAAATCCCTTTTGATTTTATTTAACTAAATTTAATGTCGTTACATACTTTGTTATATATAAATAATATTTTTAAAGTAAATATCAAAATTCAAACTTAGATAAAATTGAACAAATATATCTAACAAACGAGCATGATGATACATTAATGTATAATTCTAAACATCGTAAATGTCACACAGAACACCTATAGTTTGGTGTAGGAAAATGACAATAAGGTTGGGAAAGCCTTGTCATTGTCTACTTCGCCTTGGAACATAGTTATGTCAGTGTCAAACTGTTCTTAAATATTTTTAAACTCTATCAGAGGGGGAAACAATAAAATAAGGCGATTATATTTTGATTATTTCAACAGTTTGCATGTTTTCACGTCACTGGTTAAGTATTTTTTTTACCCTAAAGGGTCTAAATATTGTCCTCTGCTTTCTAATTTAGATCATGGATTTGTCATTGTCATGTTTATTTACTTGTACTGACGAAGTCGTAGTTATTACCCTTGAGATTTTGTGGGGAACTATCACTCGGTTAAACAACTCGAGGGATTGGTGTTCAGTTCATTAATTGCCAACATATTAATCATTAGCATACATATTTGTATGATTCACTTACAAATTATGTAAATTATGTTAGTAAATAGTGATGGATAAAACTTGAAGCTACTCTAGAAGGTTAACAAAGAACTGCTATTACAAATTTGGTTATCAGCGACGTTTTCACATAAAAATGATGGCAGCTTCTGCAATGTTATAAAATTTTCCCCGGCGCATTTAAATAAAATGTCACTAAATATCAAATTGGTAACGCTTGTAGATCTTATGCGACGCTAAAAGTAGATAAAATCCCGCATAAACCAACGTGTTGTCAATTCTAATGCCGTCTAAAGGGGCACCGATCAAGCAATTTTAATGGTAAAGAAATTACTGTTATTTCTCAAGGTCTTGATTTTGAATACCATGAATATAAAGATGTGAGTGTTTAATATTAAATGATTGAGAGTTATTTTTGAACATATACTACCTTATATTTATTTCAGATTACTAGAAAAATATTTTAAGAAAAATAATGTTGTTTAAAGGGCGGCCTTTAAGTTCGTGGTTAAATGTGTGTATATATATTGAGTGGTAAATGTTTGGCACGATTAGGGATGGCAATGGGTCGGGTCGGGTCGGGTTTTTGGGCCACCGACCCGACCCGAGAAGAAAGGTTCTCCACCCGACCCGACCCGACCGACAAAATTATGTTTCACCGACCCGACCGACCGAATATATGACTTAGAAACACGACCCGACCCGACCCGACCCGAAATAATAAAAAAAAATTTAATTCAATGAAAACAATGA